TTTTACAGAAAATCTAACCTAACCGTTATGGATTGGTGTTTTAAAAACAGATCCTAAGAAGTCAACTATTCAGAGCCCCATCAGTTTAACTTCTTAAGGTAACTATATACTGTGAGGGAAAGAATGCTAATAGGCATACCCCTGTTCATTGCTCCTAAATAAGTATACGTTTCTGCTTTGAGCACCATCCTTTCAATAATACTAAGGTGAATTCTATTCACTGAGAATGGTAATAAGTATTCATATTCATTTTTAAAATTTCTATCATTTAAGCTGAATGTCTTGTTTTGGAAAAAAAATAAATTTAAAAATAAGAAACATGAATTCCAACAGTCACTTACATATTTCACAATTGTTCTTGTTGCTCGAAAGAATGTTTTTACCTGATTAAGGACCTTCTGCAGGTGTGGGGTGCCCATCCGATCAGCAATGTGTCTGTAAGCCGGGTGCGAAAGAAAAAACTTCCTCTCTGCCAGCATGGCCGCCTTAATGTCCTTCTTCCCATCTATGTCCTTCTGGCTTCTGTTTACCACCCCCACGTAACCTGGAACAAAACACAAACCTATGCAGTTGGGGATGCTTATTGTTGCTTATTCTGGGAAGACTTTAAGGCTCTCAAATAGGCTAAGACAGGCAAAATTAGTTTTAGGGCTGAAGACTGGGTTCCTTTACAAAACTCAGTAGGAAACATCAGTACTTAACAAAGGCTGCTGATTTGGCTAATGATAATTTTTTAGCATCAGCATGATAATAATGTCTCTCACCCTTAAAAGCTCATTTTAAGAGAATTACCTCTCTTTGCAGTTTTATCATATAGCAGGCAAGTAAATATCAAACTTAAAACATATGATTATGCACTCTGTGATGAATATTTACAACCTCCCTCAAACCCTTTTCTTTTCCTGCTTTCTTATTCTTGTTATTTTAAGGAATAGTTCTCCCTTTGGATCATTTTTTAATACATCATTTGGGAACACAGTGCCATTCCATAAAAGGTACAACTAATACTAAATCCATTCCTTACAGCTGAGGAGGCATTAAAACCAAGCCTCCCGGTGGCTTCCCAATCATTTCTCTGTCATATCATCAAAGGAGTCTTGTATAGACCACGGTACGTTACCCCTGCGAAGAGGCAGCAGCTTGTTCTCTAGCACATCCCTGGCATCTGTTCCTTCATCCATAAGATCCAGTTTGGTGATGACGCCAATGGTTCTCAGACCTGAATCAAACAAACCCAACATTGCACAAGTTGGAGAAAACGAAGTCTTAGACACATGTATGTCTCAGTGCTAAATGTAAAGCACCTTTTCCTAGGGCTTTTCCTGTTTTTGTCTTACTTTGTTTTCTAATCTACTGCTACACCAGTCTGGAGAGTTTGATGGGATGAGAAGGACAGGTACAAAACCACCCTTCCCTAAAACAACTTTCAATCCAAGAGAGAAAAACAAATACTTATATCACCAAAACACTTCTAAATACGAGTTTATTTTGTACCATGCATAAAAGGAAACTATACATGTTCATTTGCCTCCCAAATATTCCACCTCATGTGGATGCTTTAAATTTTTATATATTACATTATTATTCATAAAAGCAAAGAAACAACATAGGCTATGCATAGGCCAATGATGACAGTGTGTCATAAACCAAGCATTATTATTGATCCGGTTCTGGACATTTGAAGTCAAAAAAATCAAAAGAAGAAAATGAGGTATAGGACAGTGCCGTCACCAAAATAAACTCGCGAGTCTCGCAGCATGGACTGTGCCTTAGAAAAGGAAATACGATGCAATGGAAAGAAGACTGAACTAGGAATTGAGGCTCGGATTCTGGTCTCCAGGCAAGTCACTTAACTCTCCAGTTCTCCTCATCTGTACGATAAGGAGTTAGAAACCATGATCTCCAAGGTAATAAAATAACCTAAGAACCCAGACATTTTATGCAGCACATCAGTTACACAGTATTCGTCCTTTGCTTTCTTCATTAGATGAAATGGACTATATCTGCCTAGTTATTCAT